TTTTTTTTTTTTTTTTTTTTTTTTTTTTTTTTTTTTTTTTTTTTTTTTTTTTTTTACTTTTCATTTACGTGGCAACATTTTAAATAATCAGCCTGTTAAAATAGCCGTGTCATTTTACCTAAGCTGACAAATTCTGAAATGTTGAAAGCCTCAAAAAGAAAAAGGAAATCCGTAATAAAATTGTAAAAAACTTTGCATTCCAGCAGGTACTTTGTATTTCTCTGGTAATAATAACAAAAACTTGGGGCTGAAATGCTGAGGATTTGAATGGTTCTTCATCCAAAACCGAAATGGGAGAGGGCATTAATTTGCACAGTATTGCAGAAAACCACAAGTTTTGGATCTAAACCTGCCTTGTGTTGCTCAAGAACGACACAGGTAGAGGTTTACCTGCAGCTCTGATGTGCCTTCCCTGCACTCAGTATTTCTCTGGCTGCAACCAGGGTTGCTAAGGAGAAATTTGGATCTGACCCTGGAACCCTTGAGACACCCTTGATGAAAGGCTGTGTGGACAGAACCTGTTATTACCTTGCAAGCTGGGTAAATAAATGGCTTTCTCCATGGAAAGAGCTGCTTTTCCAAAGAGCCCTTCTGAGCCACCTGCAAGCCTCAATCCTCACCTAAACCTCACTAATAAAGCCTCACTAATAACCCCTGACCCAGGGGGGACTTTTTTTTCCCATTCCTGATGTTCTCACATCTTTTCTGGAGCCTCCAAAGTCCCAGAGAACCTCTTTTGGTAGTGACAGCCCTGGGCCAAGTGTCACTTAGCTCATGAAAATTGATGGGTTAAAGGAAGTGCTGGTTCTTTACCTTTCTGGGGGTGGCCAAGGTGGTGTGGAGCTTCCTCTTCACCCTCTGCCTGGGTGGTCCCTAGATCCTCTTCGGTGGCATTCTCTGGGTTTGTGGCTCTGGAGCAAAGTTCTCTCAGTTCTGGCTTCAGGTGCAGGGTCTCCTCATCTTCCTGGCATGATCCATCGGTCAATGAGAGCGTAAAGCCCTCGAAGTAATTCACAGGGAGATTAACTGTTGGGAAGAGAATCCAGCTCTCACTGCCTGATCCCCAATGACCTGTTCTCCCTCAGTGTGAGGCATGAGCAGGGTTGACTGGAAAACAGGGATGCTGGTGACCTCGTGGTTAATTGGAGTTGGGTTTGGGGGTCAAGGATCACCAAACTTTGCTGCTTTATGATCAAACACCTCACAGGGTACCTGAGTCTGCATTTCTGTCCAGGTCCTGGGGGCCTGTGTCCCCTGGGAGAAAGCTCTACCATACCCACTGTGGCAGAGGAAAGATCCAACATCCCCAGAGAGTTAACAGGGAGCTTCAGGAGAGGCTGGGAGTCAAACAATCCTATAATGCCAGGGATGCAGGGATCCCTCTGGGTGCACTGGCAGCACCTCTTA